TTTAGAATTACTAGATGATAGAGGTGCATCTTAAGCATCTTAAGAGAAAAATCCTTCAGAACCCCCATTCAACTCTAAACACATTTGCATGTGTACATTAAATTGACAGAACTTTAAACTAAGCCTAAAAAACTATTTTTTTATTTGTTTTTAACCATACCTTAGCAAAGATTGCAAGTCATGTTGACATTTTACCATGAAGAAGATGCACTGGCTTTATATTTCAGATAAGAAATCATTTAAAAAAAAATGTCATGCTAACTGACAAGACATTTAATGTGTTGGTAACAAAAATAAGCTTGAAGCAGAAATGTATAAAGGTTAAGAGAAAAAATAGCAAAGAACAAAATAGTTTGCTCAATAATAAGAAGTTAACTATTTTGTACAGAGTTATAATGTAATTTAGCTGTGAACTTATGATACAAAAAAACTCTAGTAAATTTTTTAATGTGTTAAATATTTTAATTATTCAGACAATCAACAACAGACACTTCAGCCTGTACACAAATTACGTCCTATTAAAGTGGAATTGCTTATCATGAAAAACAAATTCTTTAAACACTTAGGTACAAATTAAAGATTTATGAAGCAAACAGTCTTAATATTTCTGGTTAGATACTACTAAATGCTGGGCTGGGGATGTGGCTCAAGCGGTAACACACTCGCCTGGCATTTGCGGGGCGCTGGGTTCGATCCTCAGCACCACATAAAAATAAAATAAAGATGTTGTGTTCACCAAAAACTGAAAGATAAATATTAAAAAATTCTCTCTCTCTCTCTTCTCTCTCTCTTTAACAAAAAGGATACCACTAAATGCTATAACAAGCAAATGACAATATTTCAGGTATTCAAAACAATATTACTAAAATGAGTGTTTACCATGGGTGTTCCAGAGAGAAGGGTGATTTTCTTCCACATGGTGATTGGGGGCTCTGGTTTCTTCTGTTTCTTTCACTTCCTATGGCTTTGGTGTTCTCTGCATTCAGCTGACAGAGGTGAGAGGGATGAAGAAGGTAAACCTGTGTATTAATCATATTCCCCAAAGTGACACATGTATCACTTCTCTTTCACACTTCATTACCTAGAACTTTTGCATGTTCCTACTCAGATGCAAGAGGAGCCAGAAAATACAGTCCTTGACTGACCAGTTGCTTACTAGCACCAGTTGTGTACTATGAAAGCATGAATCCTGGTGAAGAGTTACTTGATCTGCTGTAGTTCATCCCACTAGTTACCAGATAGCTTTGTTATCCTTTCTTCTGTATATAGAACACATTCAGGGGAAACAGCCCCAAGTCCTAACCCATTCTTACATGCAGTCTAGCATCTATACCAGGTTTAGCTATTGCTCTTTGCATCATGACAACCTGTAAACGAAAGTTCATGCTACCTGCCTACTGTTCCTCTCTACTTCCCATCCTTCCCTAACACAAATCCAGTGTACAACATTACAGCAGCGACAGAAGAGCTACAGTTAAGTTTCCCATTTGAAAAGTGGAAAAATGAGAAACATAGCAGTAATTATTCAATACCAACAATGAAATCCTGTTAAGACCCCTTTCCTGGAGGTGTTCAAGACCTCTTGATTAGATCTGTATTGTATATTGAACTCCTTTGTCTTGTATTATCCATGGCCCTTGGAGCTCTGAGCCTTGGGAGATTCTTCCTTGCCTATTAGCATTTACAGCTAAATCACATAAAAAGTTGAGACTACTTTCTATGTGTGCAATTTGGAAGTCTAAGGGAGAATAAGTTCAGGGTGGATTTTCCACTGCAATTCTCTTAGAAACACAGATTTCATTATCTGTGGGCCTGTCTGTTACATGTGCCATTGTTCACAACTTTATCAGTCTCTCCAGAAAAACAGAAACCATGCCAGGCTTTTCAAATGGAGAGACCTTAACACAGAAAATTAACTCTACCTATGGTAGGACAGAGAAACTAAACAGACATGTCAAAGAAACCCCAAGATTAGCAACAACAAGTAACTGCTGCATATTCTAGAGACAGAATGATAATAGGCAGATGTGATGTTATCAGAGCTGAGAGTCTGGTAATAAAAGACTGTGGGCTCCTTGAGGGGGTTCATATTCTTTCACCTGAGTATATATCCACATAGTGAGCACTCCTATGTTATTTAATTGAAGAGAGCTGAATCATAACCCCTTTCACTGACTTCGGTCAGAAATGTCTATCAGAAAAATGAGAGAGAAATAATTGTATGAAATATTGGGATGATTCTTAATTTGCAGATCAGCTATAACCAGTTATTTGGGGTCCTCATTTAGTAACTTATTGTTAGCATTTAGAGAAGGAGAAATTGTTAAAAAAAATTATGTATTCATTTCCTGTATAAGACTTTTATAATTGGAATAATACCAATTTTAAATAAACATAGAAGGAAGAGTTTTAAAAGGATAAAGTCTGTTTGTAGGTGGCTCTTGCCGAAATATATATATGTGTATATATATTTTAAAGAATGTATAGGGAGGAGGAGAGAAAAGCCTCTCAGACTTGCTAGGAATATCATAGCTAGAGAGAATGTGTAGCTCTTAGTCTTTGATTTTGTTTTTGTTATTGTTCTTCTGGAATTAGCTTGTAAGTCAATAAAGCTATTCCTTGGTCTACTGGTATAAGCCAAAAGCTGTCAACTTATTTTTTTTTTACCATCATTTAAGAACCTGTAAAATGTTCTACTGGGTATTTTAGCAATACAAACAAATCAGTATTAGAGTATGATCACAATTTTGTAAACAAGGCACATGCCATTCTGTCTGTTCTTAAATGTCCTTTGTGTGCGTCAGACTGTGGATGTGCCAGACTCATCAGAGCAATGACTTTTAGGAAAGGCTTGAGAAAAGTCTAAAAATAGTGGCTACATTTAACAACTCACAAGTTGAGGATGGTTTGAGAAGGTTTTGTGATGGTGTTGTCTTTCCTAAAGAAAAAGAGTGCGTTGTTTGAAGATTCTCAGTAACTACTTTCACTTATACATGGAAATGAAGGTTTTGTTGAAGGGGAAGGAAGAAAAACTTCAGCTGCCATGTATGCTTTAAAAACACCTTCACATACCTGTGCATGTTAGTAGTTCTCCATTCATACCTGCACTTGAGGTTTATTTGCTTTTCCTGTTGATTTAAGCTAAGAATGACTTAAATTATAGTTATGTTGCACTTTATGCCTTGGTTTATCTTTCAGGCTGTAGTACTTCCATTTTATCTGGTCCTTGTTTGTTTGTTTGTTTGCTTTGGAGGGGTACTGGAGATTGAACCCAGGGGAACATGACCCATGAACCACATCCCAGCTCTATTTATTTATTTGTTTGTTTGTTTGTTTATATTTTGAGATGGGGTCTTGCTAAGTTGCTTAGGGACTTGTTAAGTTGCTGAAGCTGTCTTTGAGCTTTAAATCTTCCTGCCTCAACAGTGGGTGTATGTCACTGCACTTGGCTAGTGCTTTTGTTTTAAATGCCCCAGTAAGGCTTAGACATGGGCTCTGTTTAAGCAGGGTTAAGTCTGAGTGAAAAGATGGCTTGTCTGGGTGGCACCTAATGTATGAAGAACAGACTTTCCTTTCTTGGGTTGATTTTTCTAAACGTTAAAAAATAATCACTGGGTAATATTCCATTGTGTATATATAGCACAGTTTATTTATTCATTTATTGAAAGACATGTAGATTGATTCTATAATTTAGCTATTGTGAATTCAGCTGCTATAAGCATTGGTGTGGCTATGTCACTATAGTATGCTGGATTTTAACTCCTTTGGATATAGACCAAGGAATGGGATAGCTGGGTTGAATGGTGGTTCCATTCCAAGTTTTCTAAGAAATCTCTGTACTGCTTTCCAGAGTGATTGCACCAATTTGCAGTGCCACCAGCAGTGTATGAGTATGCTTTTTCTCCCACATCTTCACCAACACTTATTGTTGCTTATATTCTTGATAATAGTCATTCTGACTGAAAGAGAATAAAATTATGGCATTTGCAGATAAATGGATGGAGTTGGAGAATATCATGTTAAGCAAAGAATATCATGCTAAGCAAAGTAAGCCTTTCCCAAAAACCTAAAGGTCGAATATTCTCTCTGATAAGTGGATGCTTATCCATAATGGGGGGAGGGGGCATGAGAAGAATGGAGGAACTTTGGATTGGGCAAAAGGAAGGGATGGAGGAGATGGAGCATGAGGATAGGAAAGTGATGGAATGAGATGGACATCATTACCTTAGGTACATGTTTGACTTCACAAATGGTACAACTCGGCATCCTATACAACCAGAGAAATGAAAAAAAGTTGTACTCCATTTGTGTACAATGAAATGAAATGCATACTTCTGTCAAGTATAACTAATTAAAAAAATTAAAGTCAAAAAAATCACTTGGTAACTTGGCAGTGTATTTAAAATAATTATGTTGTTTCACTAATTATAGTTCATCCGTATGTTTCTGGAAAACCTTAGTCAGGAAGATCTTTTCTTTGTATTGATCTAGAGCAGAAAATATGCTATGATCATTCTTGTCCATCTCTCATTGATTTCCTTTAGTGTTATTTTATAAACAAAATATTGAAACATGAACATGTTTGTATAGCTTCAATAATTGGTTTTGCTTTATAAGCATGTTATCTGCAGTTTTGAAGAATCTTTCTGAACTTCTTGGCCCTAAGAAGTTTTAAATAGTGTTGAAATTATAGGTGTCCATTAAGTATTTTTCAATTGCCAGTTCAACTGTAGCTTGTTGTACTATTAATTTATTATAAAGTGGCACTAGAAGAAAATGCATTATGAAATAATATGAACACACATACTTGTCAAAAATAAAAGTCTATATGAAAAACCAATCTGCTGTGGTAGGAGACAGTCAAATAATTTATTAGATACGTTTGGGCATTGACACCCTCTTCACAAGTAGGAAAATGTATAGAATAGATTCCAGTTTCAGTTCATAGATGCCCTGTATTATAAACTCCACACACTTTAATTTTTTTTCGTCCTTTACAGGTGATATTATACCCAACTTCTAATAGCTCCAAGTCAGCTGAACTGCACCGCATGATAGTTCCAAAAAATAGTCAGGACTATGACTTAAAAATCAAACTGGCTGTGCGAATGGAAAAACCACCACACATGAAGCATAGTGGGTAAGTGTGTGTTTGAAAATATTTCCCATCTGTGAATTGTTGTATTCATTTCACTGTATCACTTTTGTCACTTTAGTGAGAGAACCAGTATATCAGATTTCTACATGGAGTTTTTTCAAAACTGCTGATGTATAGGTAATTTATCTTTAAATTTTTAGATTTATGGAAATATTATGTACTATGTTGTTAATGTAACTGTTTTTCTGTATACTGGCATAATGTTGATGCTCAGTTATGTTGGTGTTACACACTAGTCATTAAAAAAACACTGATGTACAGGGATAACTGCTGACAAGTATTCTTCACATTGTAGATACAGTAATAGTTGAAACAAGCCTGGCGTTTGAGTTCCCAGAAATGGTTAAACTTTCAGAGAATACATAAAAACTAGAAGGTGGTTCTGACATAACCCAGGAGGTTGTTCAAGTTTTGACAGGAGAGATATGAGCATTTGCCTGATGTGTGAGTGAAAACTAAATCAATCCTGGAAAGACTGCTGCCAATGGATAAGCAAGCTGGACAGGGACTGTGACCTGGAGAGTGCCATGGTCTGAATCAACCTGCATCTCTACAGAGATCCTTTTTCTCTTGTAGCTGGTGAAGGAACAGATCTGAATTCTTGAATAAAATAAAATGAGTTTTCAAAAATTCAGATCTTTCATAGATTAACACTTCAGGATTTACTACAGCCAAATTCTAGCATAGAGGTGTTAGCCAGTAGGAAAGAATGCTACAGCTTTTCTTTTTATGGAGAGAAGCAGTTGCAGAAAGGGCTCACCTGAGTTTAGCACAGACTTAGGAGTCTCAGAAAGTACATTCCTGTCAAGACAGGTCTGCTGGCTTTGAAGCCAGATCACAAACGTTAGGACCAGGCTCATGGTTCAAAAGCTAAGGAGAATTCTTTGGATAACTCTTAGAGAAAACAAAATTGGGTGTTGTGCAAGGGGTAGTCCAAATGTACATACTACCATCTGGGTGAGAATATTGCTACACTGGGATGAGACAGTTTTAGTTCCTTGGTTTGGGGTGCAGCATGTGCAGTTTCATAACAGCTCTCAAGTAAGGGAAAAATACCTTGGACCATCACCTCTTAGAAAGGGAACAGTAATTTAGGTTGCCTACATTATGGAATCTTTAATTTATCAATAAAGTCAAGTCTGTGACTCAGCCCATAATGCAAATGGAGATCCTGGCATTTAATATTTAGAGTTCTTTCATTCATCCATCTACCTGCTCACCATTAATTTATGCAGCAGACAGTTAATGAGCAATTCTTTTTGTCCTGTTTGGAACTTTTGAGATGGAATTTGAAGGAGGTTGGCAGTGGGGAGGAAGGGCATTCCAATCACCTGACACAGCCCATAAAAAAGGCAGGAGTCCTGGGGGAACTGTGAGCTAATGACAAGTTTTATACAGTTGGCATGGAGGGCTTTGAGACTAGAGAAGCCACAAGCTCTCTAAAGGACTTAGGGACTAGTAGAGTTTTGAGTTAGACATAAAAAAGACATGGCATGTTCCAGGAACTAGTTATTTCTCTATCATTTTTTTTGCTCAGTCTCTTTTTCTTTTGCTGAATGGCACAATAAGAAACGGGAGTCTATCATAATGCTAAGATGGCCCTTAATCTGCCCATGACCAGTACCATGTTGAATACTTCTGGGGCTTTCAGATTGTCCCAGGAAGGAAAACAGAACATGAAACAAAGCATGGGTAAGTTCTGTAGCTTTTAATATTAAGGGAAGAAAACCCTGCTCTAATCTAGTAGTTCCTAAGTTTATAATGCTTCAGAGCAGGTGGGTCAGTACAGACCCCTTATGGATCATTTTTTAAATGATCTTGATTTTTTTTTTTTGCAGGGGTAGAGTGGGGTGTCACTCCATTACACCAAAAGAGATTTTGTTTTTATCACATTTCTTTGACTAACTAATGGCCTTCATAATGGCTTTGCAATTGACTTCTGCTCAAGACTACAGATCTACAGAAGAGACATGGAAGAAGATATGTCATAGTCTCTCAATTTAATCTTAACCTAAAGCTCAAGAGCTCACCAAAGGACTCAGACTAGGAATGCCTCATATTCCAGCCACATGGGCTTTTACCTTCCATTGCTAAGAGATTCTAACCAGTATTCTAGACAGTTTGTGGCACACAAAGTGAAAGAAGTCTAGAAATAAAAATTCTGTTAAGTCAATGTATTGCATAGCAAAAGTAAATTAAGAATATCCACAATTGCAGTTCAATAAAAACTATCTTAATACATTAGTACATTAGAAGTGATAGAAGTGATAATACCAGAATTGAATGTTTTCAATGATGCAGTAATGGCAGTTGATCCTTTTAGGCAGGGAGAGTTGGAGCTGCTTTACCGCAGCATCTACTCTGGCTTTTCCATGCCTGTGTGGTAACACTTTTAAATATTTTGTATATGACTTCTGAACATAACTATACATGGGAAAACATGGAGATCCTGGCATTTAATATTTAGAGCTCTTTCATTGATCCATCTACCCGTTTACCATTAATTTATGCAGCAGACAGTTAATGAGTAATTCTTCTTGTCCTGTTTGGATTTCACCCACAGCATAACTATTCATATTTTCTGCAATGCTTCTTAAATGGGTTTTAACTGAACTACATTTGAGAAAGAAAGTCAACTAACCTTTTTCTTATCAGTATGCACTCAACTACCAAGGTATAAATATATTAGGAATACCAGATTAATAACATTTTACATTGGAGCTGGATTATGTTCTGTAAATAATACATCCTATAATTAATAATTAATAGATGAATAATTAATAATTGAAAAAGAAGCTGAATTTTTTAAAAAGATGTATACATATTTAAAATATGGCACACTCCTCTTAGAGGTGAGTTGTTCAGTGGATTAAACAATAACTTAGAATGTTATGGAGTTTTATCCTGACAGCACATCAGAATTTTTGGAAATCCTCTGGGACTTTAGTAGTAAAATATTCTTTTCTAATAAAATGGACAGTGAACATTTCTCTCATATGCAGATTCTTAGCATGCATTATGTTTTGTGTGTCACTTACCTATGATCCCTGCATTGCTCCTAATATTTTTATAAGTATTATTTAACTTTCATGGGTTTCCAACTGCACTGTGAGCTTGTTAGGCCTGTTTGAAGCCCTAGTGTCTCCCACAGTATGTAATTGAGGATGGATATTATTAATATGAATAACAGCAATGAAAATGATTAACCATGTGCTCCTTTAAAGGGAAAAGGTGTAAATATTAGAATAAGCTGCACTGGTTAACTTTAAACTTAAAAGATTTTAAACACAATTTACAGGTAAAGGAGCATAATTTTAGTGTTAAATAATCTTAAATAAATTAAATGGTGTGTGGTTTTCAACTGCATTTTTTAGATGATCTATTTTTTGAAGCAGAAAGCAAAATATATCTGATCTAAAGCTCATATTTCTGAAAACTAATCAGTTCATAAGTATACCTTATGGCTTTTTTTTTAAGTTTGGCTAACTTCATGCAAATGAAAATGGATATTTAATTTGGGCAAAAGAAGCCTAATGATGATCCCATCCTTTTAAAACCAAACTGAGCATTGCCACAAGACATATATTAGATTCATTTATTCATTTGGAGTGTTGCATATAAAACTGATTATTGAAACTGTTAGATAAATCTGTTAAATGAATTACCAGCTAGATTTTGAATGATTATATGATTCACATCCGCCTTTCAGATTTATTTCCTGCTTTTGTGCATAGCTGAGAGATAGTGTTCTTAACAAATGGACTGTACTTTAGCATAGCCTAGTGGCTAAGTAGCAGCATTAACTTAAAATAGAAATGCTGTCCCCCTTCTTATTAAATAAAATTATTTTCCTAATTCAAAGGTTATTTTCTCAGCCAAAAGAAAGGCAAAACAAGACAGCAGTAATGAAATAAATGACTATTGTGACAAGGCTACAACTGAAAAGGAGAAAGAAGAAAACTAAATTGGCTGTCACATATGTGGCAGCTTTATGACCACAATCTATCAGAGGTCTACACACAACTAATTGGTTTTATAGGGAAAAAAAAAGAATAAAAATTGTATTAATAGGTAGCTATAGAAGCATTCTTTCACACTTAAGAATTGGTAAGGTAAAATCTTAGCAAAATCGCTATCATCAATACACATTTTTCTTTGTGTTGCAGTTATCCTGGGCACTTTATACTTTTCAATGGATAGATGTGTTTTTAAATTGTCACTAATAAAACTCTCCTTTTTAATTTACATCATAAAAGTATAAAAGGCTCATCTCTTTCTGTAAGGGAAGGAAAGCAATTCATCTTCTGGCAGAAAAAGAGAATAAGCAGGCCATTACCCCATACTTGCCCATGACCCTTGCTTGGCCAGGAAGAAGGGAAGCTGGGTATTTGGACTAGAATGCCACACTTACACAAACTTCACACGCTTAACTTTTCAGACATCACATTGGCGCATAAAGTGAAATGACTATCATAATAAAATTACATTATTTTGTTTCTGGTTTAAGATTGATGATCTGGCTGGGCATGATGGCATACATCTGTAATCCCAGCCACATGGTAGGCTGAGGCAGGAGGATCCAGGGTTCAAAGCCAGCCTCAGCAACTTACTAAGGACCTAAGCAACTCAGGGTGACTCGTCTCAAAATACAAAAGAAGGCTGGGGAGGGATGTGGTTCAGTGGTTAAGTGTCCCCTGGGATCAATTCCCAATACCAAAAAAAAAAAAAAGACTTATGATTTTTAACTTATTTAAGGGACAATATAATGAACAAAGGGAAGAAAATCTTAATTGTGTCTTGGTGGAAATTGTTTGGAAGGTCTCAGCCTTACAAAAAAGACAAATGTGTTCTTTTCTAGAGAAAATTGATTTCTTTCTCCCTCTCACCATCCACTCCACCACTCCCCCCCCGTATTGAAGATCAAACCCAAGGCTTAGAACATGCCATGCAAGTACTCAATCACCTAGCCCTGATTTCTCATT